TCGCTCTCGAAGTAGTAGTGATTGACATAGTGATAACCATAGCAATAGATGCGACAAAATATGTGAAAATGTGCATTAAGACTCGAGCACCCTCACTAATGTCAGACGCACCCTCAGTGATTATTTCTGGTTGTACGCTTTTATTGTACAGCCTACAAAAACAACAAAATACAAATGCACTAAATAAAATAATTTAATAAATGCATATTTACAATTTAAGCACTTAACTAAAATAAGTATTAAATAATTAAATAAATAACTAGGGAAGGCTGACTATAATCAGTTTGCTTCCATTTAGTAAGAAAAGCCTTGGCTACTCTTCACCTGAATTAGAAAAAAAAGCTCTTCTGGTGTTCAGTGATGCGAGGACAACGTTTGAGCGTGTACACGCAATATCTGAGCCAGAGCAGAGCCAATTCATTAAAAACTATGTATAGTTAAAAGCACACGTCCAGTTTTGTATGAGTGAAGGAAACCCGCTTGCGGATTCTTGCGGTGAGATTCCTGCTCACGCATTACATGTATTGCGTAACATTATGCGCTCTCGACATTGTCATTATGATCACGCTATAGAAACCGCTTAAAATGAAGTATAAAGAAGAGAAGAAAGCGGCCCTATGCAGCTGCCTACACAGGATCCGCCACTGCCAGATGCAGTTAGAAATGTAATGGGGGGGGGGGGGCACCTGGGGTGGCCAGACAGATTTCAGGGGGGGCCGGTGCCACCCCTGACCACCACGTAGACACGCCCCTGAGGTGAATATCCTAGACCTACGATTAAAATGGGCTATTTGAAATTGAAACAGCCTGCTATTTGCATATGGGAAAGCTAATTGTAATCACAATAAGAAGGAATAAGACACTAATCATTTTCTAATATAACTTATAATAAGATGATCAAAAGACAAACTTAAGTATGTCGAATTATTTTAAATAGGTAGGATATTCAAGTGGGTTTAATAGCCTGCAGTTCTTTTTGTAGTTTAGAATTTTTCAAAGGCTACTTACAACTGATGTCCACGCTTCAGGCCTAATGGAGAACCTCTGCATTTCTCAAAGCGTAACTCAAGGATCTTCTAATGCAACAGCAGGCTAAGTGACGTTTAGCAGACTGAACCAAGCCTAGGCTATTTGAAATACATTTCGACACCGTACCCTGTTGTTTTAAGTGTTTTGTAAAAGCATGTGTTTATATTTGTATTGTCTCTGAATTAACCTTATAGTTTTAAAAACTTTACGTGTGTCCAAAAAAAATAACAATAATGTTTTATTCAGTGGTTTGGTCCGAACGAAGGGGGGGGGGGGAACGAAACTATTTACAAGTTAATCGAAACTTATCAGTTCCATGAAAATGTCCCCGCCCTCCTGCCAGTGTTGCCAAACCCCTCCCTCAGAAAATCTCTAGAACCACCCTCAAAAGTCTCCATTTTTCACAAAAAGTCGCCAAATATGAAAACAAAGTAAATACAGGTAAATTTGGTAAAGGTAAAGGAAAGTAAATATATATATATATATACTTTACTGATGACAGTATAAAAAAATATAACAAAAGATTAAGTATAACAAAAAATTCTGAAGTGAAATTAGGACATGCTTGTGATCTGCACATCAAACAGGATGGAAATGATGGAAAGACACAAAAGACATAATGTTGGGAATTTGTTTCATGTGTCACCAAAGTGCATCCCTGTCCTGCTCAAATACAACAGATAAGAGATATTATGATTCTCCAAAAACAAAAAATGTATTCATACAAACTTATTTCAGTCAACACACTTTATTACTACAAAGTAAGTGCAAAATACTGCATCCCAGCACACATGACACGACGATGCACTGTGTGTCTCTCTCAGTATCTGGTTGACATGACTGTGCATGAATTGTGGGATAACTTTTGTGTCCGTGGTTAAAACAAGATGTTCATTGTTGATCTTGATTGATGCTTATAATGAAATTGTGGTGTGCGTCATGGCAGGAGTGGCGTACTGGTGTGTTCACTGCGCAGACTCATTGGCATGATTGAGAGCAAACGTGAGAGGTCACGGGCCTACGGCAGGGTGTGGCCAAGTAAAAAATAAAAAATCTCCAAAAAATCGCTAGTTTTATTTCAATATTGCTAAAATAACTCCTTGTCGCAAATAAATAAAAAAAAGTTGCAGCTACAATGAGAAAGTAGCTAAATTTGGCGACAAAATCCCCAAATTGGCAGCACTGCCTCCTGCATAAGCCTGTTGGAAGGGCAGCCTTTTATCTCAGATGTATTGTTTCTTCATACTTCTGCCTGAGTATTTACAGAAATGCCAGAATTCCTAAAGAACACTTTGGCATATGAGGCAATTCTGTGTGAGCATTTCCTGATTGTCAATTTGTAAATTGTTGCACAGGATTTGATCTGTGCCTTTGTTTTGTTTCAAGAGACATAGCCTGCCCTACACTGATTGCCATTTCATTCAGCCAAATTCATTCATAAGCTAAATCTGTGATCATTCTTTTTTCAAAACCTCCCAGTGCTCTACTGGTCAGAAACACATGCTGTAGCCTATGACTGGCAGGATAAGAGAGTGATGCTTTGCATATGGTGGCTTTCACTCTTCTAAGTTATCAGTCTGGCTTGGAACACCATGGAAGAACAGATGGATCTGCCTGTCTTTTCATTTAAAAAATGGAATTTTTGTTACAAATACCGATAACTTATCAGCTTCTCACTTCTGATGGCTCTTTGTAAGATTTTTATCTTCAGGCTTCTTCTATTGACAGGTTTGTGTCTGGCAGGTGGCACAGTCTCTGACAGCTTTAAAGAATGCCGTCAGTTCTTCTACATGCATACAGTACCCACAGGTATCCGAGGGGACAATCTGAAGAGGATATGCCAACGATATGGAGATAAACTACGCTACGCCACACTATATGACAGCAGTCGCCGTTTGGCGCTTTATTCGGCTTACACCTTCAAAAAGTCTGATGGACAGAGGAGGATGGACACACCCTGGATGTATGAACCACAGGTAGCAGATTGCCTTAGTTTTGTCTCTGGATATTTAAAAAAAATAACAAATTAATAACTAAATGAATAAAATAATAATATGTGTATTTTATAAAATCATTTGAACAAAATAGTCTTTATTTTGACAACAGAGAATTCATCACATAACACTGAATGGTACTGTCCATATACTGTTGTTGTTCTGTCAATATGAGTTTCTATATGGTTTTTGATTTCTTGTTTTTTTTCCCCAAGTTGGTTTCTGCTGATGAAAGTGGAAACATGAGAGAGTTGCCCTCTAGTGGTGAAACCGACCAACTTCTTAAGGAGAGCCAAGCTGTGTTAGAAGACTATGTTGATGCGGTGGACTACGAGCGAAGCCCACTTAACCCTGACCAGCACCAGGCGGACAACCAAGACAAAGCAGCTACCTATACTCTCACAAATGTGGTACCTCAGATCACAGACTTATTGGAGGGTCCATGGGCCATTTATATCGATACGGTACGCCGCCGCCTGAATAACTTCTGCCGTGGTGCTGCCTATGTGGTGACTGGGGTGACTGTATCAGGTGTGACCATCCGAAGAGGAAGAGAGGACCGCATGGCCATCCCAAAGCACTTGTGGTCCACTTATTGCTGTCCACGGTTTGATCGAAACTCACCCTATGATGTACGATACATGTTTCCCACATATGCAGCATATGCTTTGAATGAGATAGTGGGACACAGTGTTACAGAAGTGCCTTTGACAGCTTTAGAGACCTTTCTGAAAAATCAGACTGGCATGGACAAAAACGTGAACATCTTTTTCAAAGACTGTCTCACAGAAAATACACATACCAATAGCAAGTGAATGAAAGCACTGTAAAGCCTGGCATATGAAATAAATGTCAGAAAAATCTGTTCATTTTAAATGGAAAAATTTATGCAAAAACATAGTTTTTGTATGTATAGTGGGGATATGGAGCTCACACTCAAGGAGGGGAAAACCCCTCAGTTTATTCCCAAACTGAGCAAAACTTTTCATAAGGTTTTGAGCATGTTGATATATTTTAGTATTAAGAAGAATTTGTGAACATTAAATGTAAGCGTCTGTGCGAAGCTTTAGAGACCTTTCTGAAAAATCAGACTGGCATGGACAAAAACGTGAACATCTTTTTCAAAGACTGTCTCACAGAAAATACACATACCAATAGCAAGTGAATGAAAGCACTGTAAAGCCTGGCATATGAAATAAATGTCAGAAAAATCTGTTCATTTTAAATGGAAAAATGTATGCAAAAACATGCAATTTTTCAAAAAAAAAAAAATGTACATGTGTTTTTGTATGTGTAGTGGGGATATGGAGCTCACACTCAAGGAGGGGAAAACCCCTCAGTTTATTCCCAAACTGAGCAAAACTTTTCATAAGGTTTTGAGCATGTTGATATATTTTAGTATTAAGAAGAATTTGTGAACATTAAATGTAAGCGTCTGTGCGATGATAATGAATTCAAGAACCAGTCAAGAGAATTATGTAAATAATAATCAAAAAATAAGAAAATAATATAGTAAGAATAATAATAAGAAATATAAGTCCAGTGAGTGTGGCTTGCAGAAATCGAATTCGAGATAGCTTTAGGAAACCAAGTGCTCTAAGCCTGTGCTGTAATATTTTTTTATTTCATTTCATTTAATTAAAACTACACTACCTGAGAAGAGAATAAAGTCACCTATCAGACTTTGTCCTACTCTTTGTAGATGATTTCCATATTATCATGCCACACTGCAGAGCCAATTGTGTGTCCATGACATTACATAGCTTGTATTACTGCATTTAAATATCACTTTGTTGATATAGAGTGTACATGAATGTGAATTTAAAGATGTTTTTACTGTTGAAATTGTGAACACAACTCAGTGGTGACTAATCATATAGTTACAGTTGGAAGGTATGTGTAAGAGTTGTTGCCATTTTTACTGAACTGAGTTCAATAGGGGCAACACGGAAAGATACGTCAACTAACAGTCCATATAGCATTAACAATTTATACTTCTCACATTTACGAAGAAAACATTTGTCTAAAAGTATAATTTAGTTACATTTAAATTCATTGTTCTTTTCTATTACATCCTAGTCAGGCTCAGGTTGCTGGCAGACCAGAAAACTATATTCACCTTTAAGGAGCCAATGAACATTAGGCCAGCAGTGAGTAAATTGACCTTGCTGATTTGCATGTAGATGAGGATAATGGCACACTGAAGTTCGTCTTATCAGTTTTGAAGTTTGCATTATTGTAGATCAGACTATCCGACCATGGTTTTGCATATACTTTGTACTCTGCATTAGAATTTTCCATGGCTCTCATTTTATTCTCCACCTACCAGTGAAGAGTCGGTCCATTTTAAATGAGATAAAGACAGTCAACTTGGAGACAGTGAATAAACCAGCCACAGGAAAAGGAGCAACATTTTCTTTTTTTGTGATACTTTCAGTACAAAGAACATTTTGCAAAGACGAAAGACAACAATTGAAAGTCTTTAGGACAACATGAAGCTCACGGTCTATTGCTGGTCCCGGTTTGGAACCCTGCTGATCTCACTGATGTGCTTGATATTAAGATCACAAGCCGGAGTGGTGGACGACTTCTCCCAAGTAGATCGCTGTAAGGATTTTCTCAGTGAATCAACCAGCCACAGGAAAAGGAGCAACATTTTTTTCTGAAATTCTTTTTTTGTGATACTTTCAGTACAAAGAACATTTTGCAAAGACGAAAGACAACAATTGAAAGTCTTTAGGACAACATGAAGCTCACGGTCTATTGCTGGTCCCGGTTTGGAACCCTGCTGATCTCACTGATGTGCTTGATATTAAGATCACAAGCCGGAGTGGTGGACGACTTCTCCCAAGTAGATCGCTGTAAGGATTTTCTGTATATGGGCACTCCACCACGAGGTTACTTCAGTACTTCCCTAAAGAAGATCTGCCAGCGCTATGTGAACAAACCTCACTTTGTTACCCTCTACGACCCCCAAAAACACATCCCCATATATTCAGCATACATCTTCAAGAAATCAGATGGGGAGAAACGGGTAGACATTCCCTGGATGTTTGAACCACAGGTGAGTGTGTGCTAAGAATACCATATTTAGTGTATTCTGTATTACACAATTGTTCAAAAATTTGAGGTCAGTTTATTAGAAAGCTATTACTGCTTTTATTCAAAAAGGATGCAATAAATCAATACAGAATTTGCTAATGCAAAAATGCAGGAAAGACATTTTAAAACCATTTTTCAATTGTGTTTCTTCGGAACATTCCTGTATCACGTTTTCCACAATAATATAAAGCAGCACAATATTTTTCAACTTTGATAACAACAACAAAAATGTTTCTTGAGCACTAAATCAGTATATTAGAATGATTTCTGAAGGATCATGTGACACTGAAGACTTGAGTAATGATGCTGAAAATTCAGATTTTCCATCACAGGAATAAATTACATTTTCTAACATAAAAATATCAAAATAAAAGCAGCCTGGGTGAGCATAACACGGTCTTTCCATTCTTTCAAAAGCAGAAAATCTCACTCCTCAACTTTTGAATGGTTACATGACTTTGCAATAAGTAAATAAATAAATAATCAGTTTCAATGCTAAAGTGATGTTTCTCTCCTGAAAAGTTTAAATGTGATCTGGGTATTGTAATCATTACCTTTTGCAAGGGTGTTTATTCTTCTTTCTCTTCATGGATCTGAGAATCTAAACCCATCTTAATCACCTGTATTTCTCATTTTGCACAGCTGGCAACTGAGAAAGGAAGCAGTAACATGGAACCCTTTCCTCAGTCTTCCTTAATGCACAAAAACTTTGAAGACACGCAGGCCGTGTTAGAAGACTACGCCGATGTAGTGCAATATGAACGTGGCCAAATGAACCCCGATGAGCATCAGGCAGACCCGCTGGACAAAGCTGCCACCTACACACTGACCAATGTAGTTCCCCTGATAAGGGAGTTCAATTTTGGTCCCTGGAGCACACAGGTAGAGGTTACCCGAAAACGGCTTAACAATTACTGTCACGGAAACGCTTATGTGATCACTGGGGTGACAACATCAGGTAATATGATTCGACGTGATAACCTAGATCGTGTCGCCATCCCAGAGTTCATGTGGACAGCCTATTGCTGCACAGATTACGATCACAATGCTCCCTACTCAGAGCGGTATAAGTTTCCAACGTTCGGCGCCTACGGTCTTAATGATCGCGTGAACAACCACATGGTGGAGGTTCCTATCAAAAATCTGGAGAAGTTTCTCAAGGGCAAAATGGAGGTGGACAAGAACTTCCAGATCTTTTACAGTGACTGTGTGTCAGATGCATAAAGATTAGAATTGGATAAAGAACCAATCCAAGGGGTTCATTATCATAAGAATTGCAGATACTACGTTAAACTTCATATAAAATCATATGCATTGCATTTGTGTATAATGAGTGGTAATGTTTTAATTCATCGAATTATAGGAATAGTTTGCTCCAAAATTGAAAATTCTGTCAACATTTACTCACCCTCATGTCACTCCAAACCTGTATGAGTTTATTTCTTTTGTTGAACATACTAGAAGATATTTTGAAGAATGTGGGTAATTGGTCCCCCTTAACCATAGTATTTGTTTTCATACTATGGAAGTCAATGGACTGTTTGGTTACCCACATTTTGTGTTCAGCAGAAAAAAGAAACTCATACAGGTTTGGAACAACATGATGGTGTGTAAATGTTGACAGAATTTTCAATTTTGCATGAGCTATCACTTTAAGGCATGTAAACCATTAAAACACACTGTACAAGCTGATGTAAACTACTAACTACATCTATGTGCTAAAAATTTCAGCTAGACAACTAAGCTTCATTTCTGGTCTTTACTTTTATTAGAGCCTATAGACGTTAGTATGTTGTATAACATGCTGTACTTCCCATCTGTAAAGCTAAAGCACATTTTGGGTAAATGAATGAGATTAAATGATTATAAATGTAAACAGAACAGACAAACTTCAGGATGCTGTCTCATCTGTGAAATAAATATTCAAATAAAAAAGTCACGTGGTTCCTTTATCAGCTCGTTGTCATGGTTTGATATTCAAATACTACTTTGCTCTTGCTGCGACAGCTTTGAGGCACATGTTAATGCAAGAAAGAAATGAGCATAGATGTCAATGCCATTTTCATTTAGTTATTTTAATCATGTGATTGGGTGAAACAGAAAAATTACTAATTTTGGATATAAGGCTAAAGAAACTGCATTTTATAGGATATTTAACCTAACAATAGTCCTTGTTCCACCCGTATCTCTGGATTAAGACGATGCATATTGTAAAAATCCTCACATTCAGATTACAATATAGACAAGGGGAGAAAAACCAACACTGTCACTTCTTAGCAGTAAGAGGGAGACAAAGATTGTAGAAAGAGCACTGATCCAAAGAACCAACTGCTTTCCATGAAACCCAACCTTGACTTTGCGCTGACTTTTTATCCAAGGGACAGCCGAAGTAATGAGGGTCCATAACAAGCAAATAACTCCCCCGTTTACCAGTGCACACACTTAAGATGCCCTTAGAGCAGGGGTGCCCAAACTCGGTCCTGGAGGGCCGGTGTCCTGCAGAGTTTAGCTCCAACCCCAATTAAACACACCTGAAGCAGCTAATCAAGCTCTTACTAGGCATACTAGAAACTTACCAGCAGGTGTGTTGAGGCAAGTTGGAGCTAAACTCTGCAGGACACCGGCCCTCCAGGACCGAGTTTGGGCACCCCTGCCTTAGAGGAATTGTCTCTGTTTCCTCCCATCATAACAGGTGACCCATGGATAAGGAAGTGGTCATGAACATCTTTTAGGGCTTGATCAATCTCCTTGCCATACCGCACATGCACTATGCGGCAGGGAACATCATAGAGCTGGTCAAGAACAAGACTTGCCTCAAATGTCCCAATCCACTCCCTGGATCCAAGGAATGCATCAGGTTTGTCCCCTATTTCTACCAAAGTTTGTTGTATTTCAGAAAGATTAGGTGGGTGTCTGTGGCTCACACTGAGAGGTTGATTAAAACTCAACCATGAAGCCATGGTCTGAATAGTCCTGTATCCACAACCCCAACCTCTGTCATCACAACTATAATGATAATGGGGGCACTCTCCTGATATCACTGAGCATCTGTCACAATCTGGAGATGGCTGAGGTAGCATGTTGTGCAGAGGAAAAATAAATGTGGAACTACATTCAGAAATAAATGAGTGATCAAAGGAAAATAAATAGGATGAGTTTAGCATCTCCTTAAACATTTTCCATTTGTCCACTAATTTATTTTATTTATTTGCCTACTTTAATCACGTTTAATTATTTCTATATGTATTTAAACAAGAATTTGTGTATTTATACAGACATTTATTTATTTCTTTGCATATTTATTTATTTATTTGTGTATTTATTTATTTGTTGTTTTTGCAGGTTTCGTCCTCCATACCGAACTGAAACAAGTGGAAATGCATATGGAATCATTCCTCACTTGAAACAGTTTGGCTCAATGGTGTGAAATCCTGTGTGTTGCAAATGTGAACCTGAACAACCAGTCATCAATTAAACTGATTTTTTCACTAACACACAACTTAAATTGGGTCATTTCGAGACGGAAATCACTCAAAGTAATAATAAATTGCAATTCAGTAGCCTAAGTGAGTGAAATGTTGAAACAGTATACCGCTGAGTTCCTTCAAAGATGGACTGACAGGCTGATTCAAACATAGCCGTAGAACTTTTTGAACATTTCATCAAAAGAACTGGCAAGGTCTATTGATTTGTTCATTTATTCGTTTGTTCGTGATTCGAATTTCACGCAACTCAGTTAAAATATTCCTTCTTGCTGTATTTGGGTTAGTGCGGATTTCCAGTGTAGGCCTATACGTGCATGTCATTTGTTAGTTTTCACTTTTAATTATTTTATGCACTGGCTGGCATTTATTAGGTAGTTGTTGATAAATAATTGAATAATAATTTTCTTTTTGGTATGTTTAACAAAAATATTCCTCCCCTAATTATGCGGGCAATATTGCCACAAGTGTTTGGAGCGATATCGTCAGTTCATCAGTAGGGGAAGCCAGTCCTATGGGAAATATCATTAGATCCATTCGATTCTGACTTTGGAGAGCACTGCTGGCTTTGGCCAGTGTTATGATTAAGGTAAGCTACGTTCTGTTACATGACATATGTTTATTAATTAATTAGACATTTTGCTTGTGCAGTAAATGCCAACCTAAAAATGAACATTCTGTGCATTGAATATGTTGTATTGTAACGCATCATGTTACAGTTGCTAATTGATTGTCCAAAGATCATGTGTCTTGAATAATGCTTTAGGGAATAATGTATTTTACATTTTATTTGTTCCCCTTGTTGTGTTTTATTATTATCTTAACATTTTGATTGGAGCTTACATTCCTTTTGTTTCTCAGTTGTATCCTTATGGACAGAAACAGTAATCGTCCTCTGTCCATTTTCCATACACATGGAGATAAACAAAGACCTATGCAACCAGGGAAGCAGCACTGGCAGAAGTAGTATCACTCATCACTCTGCTAATAAAGGTTCCGAAGCAGGAACAATCCCCAAAATATCTCTGGATAGACTGGATGCCATTGTCATTGGAAAGAAAAACAACCTGTATGAGTATAAACAAATGGTTTGGTAAAAACAGCTGTTTTTGAACGATTATGTATGTTCATGCGTTTTGCTGCATGGGGCACTTTATGCATGATATGGCTTTTTGTCCTTTTAATCATTAAAATAAATATCCTGTTTTACATAAAAATGTCCCATGCCATTACCATATACAGTAGGCCTATTGCGAAATGGTAGACATTTGAAGCTGTACAATCCAGCAACCAAATATTTATTTTTGAAATAAAATACAGGGATTAGGGCAGGGGTAGGCGAGTTCAGTCCTAGAGAGCCGGAGTCCTGCAGAGTTCAGCTCCAACCCTAATCAAACCTGAACAAGCTAATCAATGTCTTCAGGATTACTAAGGCTATAGGCACGTGAGTTTTTTTTCAGGGTTGGAGCTGAACTCTGCAGGACTGTGGCTCTCTAGGACCGAACTTGCCTACCCCTGCTTTAGGGTTACAATATTTCCCCAAATTTAATGTTATAGTTTATTAACAGTTGGCTTTAGTGGATGCATATAAGATCCAATAAACTGAAAGGGATTTAAACCATTACTAAAACAAGGTCAAGACACAGCAGGTAGATAATAGAAACACAGAAAACAATGGATAAAAACAGATCACAAGGTCAAAGAATAGACTACGATAAACAATGTATGATAAGAGATACGTGAATGCTGGCCTGAAATTGAATGTTTTGACTTGAGATAGAATAAAGATGAACACTTAAGATCAGACACAAATCTGGAGATGGAAGACATTCCAGAACTAACCTAAATATCAGGCCCCTGATGCAAAATACAGTGGTTAGAATGGAAAGAATAAAACCCTGTACCTAACGAGGTCACACTGTTTGTGGGCGTGTAGTTATGATTCAAGCTGGACACAAGACTGTACGGATAACTGTAGGTGAGTGGAGGCTTGGCAGTGTCAGACCGAATTGCACAGTTATTGCATCCAACTTTTCAGAGATTTTATTGCGAATGTGTATATTTTTATTGCTTAAACATTGCATGCAAATAGCATACAGGAATTACTAATTTAAGTGTTGCCACTTTTTGAAAATGTTTGTTGCCAAAACCTTACTAAGCTCACAGGTTTAACATTTTTGTTGATGTGTATTGTGAACATTTATGTAATATTCTGTAAGACACTTGTGACTGCATTATTGGCTTCTCTGTTAGCTTCAGCAGTTGTTTAATTACTGCTGTCTTCATTCATGAAATTACCTCATGATTTATTTTTGTCCACTGGCAAGCTGTCGGTCATTCTCTAAATGGTTTAACTGTGAATTTGGCATAGTGACATGATTAGCATGTATCTGCTGTTTAAGACTGGTCAACAGCCAGAACAAGGAGTACTGATCTAACAACAATAACTATGTTAGCGGTAGCACACAACACAAGTCTATCAAACTAATTTAAAAATGTTCTTTTGTTTATTGGCGTATGTTATGTGACTTTATGCACAGCATGTTTTTGCTGTTTTGTGCTAACTGAAAGTTTTCAAAAAATGTCCAGTGACTATTTGACAACTGCATTTTGCATATAATCAGTATAATTGTACAAATGGCAAATAATATGCATTGGGGGAGAAATTAAGCTGTTGAATGATGGTTGTTTGATATCATGTGAAATTACACTGAATTTTATTGAAGACATATTTTGTTTGAATGAAGAAAAATAATGATTTAATTCTGAAATAATGTTATTCACGTTAGTTGAAGAGCTAAAGATAATAAAGACTTATTTTTCTATTTCTATTTCTATTGTTTCTGCTTGAGAGAGCAAAGGCCAAAGCTAGAAATATCCTTATATGCTTACAGCCAGAAAAAGCTGGCAGTCTATCATTGTAAACGTCTCCGGTTACGTATGTAACCATGGTTCCCTGAGTAGGGAACGAGACACTGCGTCCTCTAGGGGTCGCTATGGGGAACGTCTCGTCGTGACCCGTGTCTGAAGCATACATTGAAAAAACACCAACAGCACGTTGGCCGGCGACAGCCATGACGTCACTACCGGTGCGACTATAGTATAAATAGGTGCCGGGAGAACACATCAGCCACTTCTTTGTCTGAAGCTTGCGTCCGAAGCATGGCAGGAAACCTAGAGGACGCAGTGTCTCGTTCCCTACAAAACTTACCTGTTAGGGCCAGAACTCCTGGGCCCGGGGTAGAGCTCAAGGCTTGGAATCAGGAATAGATTCCTTTAAGGGAATATGACAAAGAGCCTAGAATCATACTAAGTCTTGACCTGTCACACAGGGTCTACCGCATGCTCTGCATATGCTGAAGGAACTGTCTCAACAGACCCCTAGTAGCAGCACCCTGTTAAATATGGGTATCCGGAGGATACAATGTGGAGTGGTGCCCAAGGTGGAACTGGGGCTTAACCAGTTCAAGAAAGGGCATGAAGCTGCCGCGCGAAGCCCTCACCATATAGGATTTTAGAAAGAACGCAAAGTACTAGCGTGCGAATTTACCACAGTGTGGATTTTAGAACGTGTACAAAGACTTCACGTGCACACTTACCATAACATGGATTTAAAAATACCATTCTAAGGAGCCCTCGTGGCACTCTGAAAAAGCAGCCCATAGATGGAAATGGTGCATCCCAAAACACTATGTTTGAGAAGTCATCAACTCGATCTAAGGTATAATGCTGGAGTGGCTAGCAGTAAATCTCTAGCTGAGGGAGCAAACACCCAGCTCTCAATCGAGAGGGGGCCTCGACCTGCAGCATGTTCCAATGCTGGAACAGCTAGCAGTAAGTTACCTTAGCTGAGGGAGCACAACACCCAGCTCTCAACGAGAGGGGGCTCGACCTACACGATCGTTAGAAATCAGTAGGATAAGCGTACTGCAAGCTAGCCAAAAAACTCAGCGCATCAGAGAGGCAGAGGAAGGGCCTAGTTCGCCTGATGCTGCTGGTTCCAGGTGCTCTGGGAAAAAAGAGAGCTCAACTCTCATGTGATAAAGGGGAGCACAGCTAAACACTACCACGAGAACAGCCCACAGAGCGAGGAATCTAACTCCTCAGAAGGGAGAGAATTCAAACGTTCGAAAGAAAGCACCATGCTTACAATAACCCTCAATGGTGAGGGGAGCGATGCTTCAAAAGTGTGTCAACAGAGACACACTGGTTGAGTGGAGCCCAAGGTACCGGGGTCTAAACCAACTCAGAGAAAGAGAACGAGGCTAATAACGCGTAACCCTTACCATACAGGATTTCAGAAGAGTGTGCAAAGTATAATGTGCACACTTACCACTATGTGGATTTTAGAAAGTGTGCAAAGTTTTCAGCGTGCACACTCACCAACATGTGGATTTCAGAAAGTGCACAAAGCTTAGCGTGTGCACTTACCATAGCATGGATTTAAGAGCTTCCCAAGCATCTGTTCACAGATACCCGGAAGTACTGAGCCAAACAGGAGAGGCTAGCTCAAATGCAACCCTCTAAGGCGAGGAGAGCACTGCCTGAGACAGCATTACACAAGAAGGTTCTCGCAAATGCCACCTATACTTCCCGCT